TAACAGACAATTTTGGTGTAGAAAAAAGATATACAGTATGATTGTATGGCAAAACATACAGTATCATCAAATTACCACAAATGCATGTATTATTGCAAATAAACATGTTTTTTTCTGTATTACTTATATCAGAAGATAATCTACTTTTTCTACTACATATAAATTATCTATAGGAAGGACAAAATATGTTAGATACTAGCTTCAATTATAATGGTTTCCACCAAGGTCCTCTGTTCCAGTGGGAACAGAGGTTTAATCTCATTGGTCGAAGGCTCTGACAGCTCCCTATAAAAGAGCTGCTGTCAGACTCAACCTTCGCTGGATTGTTCTTACTTGTTGTGTTATAATAAAGAGCTGTTATTGCCTTTAGCTTTGTGTGCCTTTCCATTACCCGATTTAACAAAATGTATTGATTACACAGACTTTTGGAGGAGAATAGCACATTCTCACGAGTTAACAATCAACCTTTAAGACAGTTATGTTTTGTTAAAGTCTTTGCAGTTCATCAATAAGTACAATGTTGTGTTTTTTAAACAATTATACTATTCTACACAGAACTACAAATCCATCCAGATGGAGGATTTAAGACAAGGCCAGTCAAGAAGAATGATAAGGTACCAGTCATCTCATGCATTACAACTGGTGCAAACATGTTTAGCACCTGATATGCAGAACTGTAACACTTCTTGACAAGGACATCTGGGAAAAGTAGGAGTATCCCTAATATTTGATAAGAATACTCAAGAAATAATATACATGTGCTGCCTGGCAAACAAGACCATGGTTTAGAAATTTTTAAAGAAAAAAATTGATACATAATAAATTTAGCAGAAATTTCCCACAGTTATGCAGAGAATCTAAAAATTCTAAAAGAACTGCTGAGATTATATGGAGGGGAGAGAGGGGAGTGAGGGGGGGGAAGAGAGAGGGAGAGACAGAGACTACAAAATGGCTTTGAAACTGCTTTATACTCATTTGATGTTGCATTTTCTTCTTTTTAATCATACAGACAGATCTGTTTTTAAAGGTTAGTGCATTTATTTTTTTGTTTGAGATAGAATATATTGTTGGAAGAAAAATTCGGTCTGGTTCCAAGCCAGAGAAAGGCGCTGGAAATAAAATGGAGGCTGATGGGAAAGAAGGAAGCACATTCTCACTTTTTTTAACAGATGGTCCTGAGCGCTGGCCAAATCCCCTTGCTTTCCAGAATTCACTGGTCACAGTCCAGTGAGACAAGCAACGAAGCAGTTTGTGGCTAGGAAAAGCACAGGGGGAGCAGGAGCCAGTTGTGGCAGAGGGAGGATTCACACACACACACACACACTTCAGCCTCCTGGGTTTCTAAAGTTAAAATTTAGAGGTACTCACGTTCCAAGCAGCCTGTTGAGCTCAAGACTCAAAACTCTTTTTCTAGCCTTGCTCCAAATGGCCAAGGTCCGGGAGGGGCGGGGGATCATCCACAGATGCAAGGGGGCTGCTGCCAGCAAGGTAGACACCTGGGACTGGTCCATTGGTCAGGTTAGTTTGGAGTCTAGGGTGCCAAATGTTGGGGAGGGGGGGAAATCTAGTCCAATTCCAAGCTGGGAGAAAAGCGCTGGAAATAAAATGGAGGCTGATTGGAAACAAGGACTTTATTGATGAGCAGAACCAACAGCAGCATGCAGTTCTGGGACAGCTGATAAGATGGGGTTTGGGATAGGTGGGCTTTTATATATTATTATTTGGGGTTTATATATTATTTGGGGTTTTGTGTTTAAAATGTTCCAGGGGGTTGTGCAACTGTGCCATCGTGTGCCAAAAGCATGGGGAGCGTGGGGGGAGGGTGCATAGAATCATGGGTTAGGGCATGCGTGCGCTTGACCCCCATGCTCCCCCCGCTTTTGGCATGTGATGGCAAAAAGGTTAGCCATCACTGGTATAGAACCTCCAACTCCTGCCACCACCATCCCATCAGCTGTTTCTGGTGAAGTGGTTCAAGTCTTCCGTCCAGGATATAAAGCAGCTCCAGACAGGTTCCCAAAGTGGGATGGGGATTTTCAGGGCTCCCAGCTTGCAGCCTGAAAAAAACAACATTGCTGCCACTGATCAGTTCTTCCTGCAAAGCTCTCCAGCAGGTGCCCAAAATTATGTGGGGGGATTTATCTTTGCAAAGTACTGGACTTACAAACATAATAGTTTGCAAAATACCATACCTAAAAAGAAGCAGAGCAGCTTTCAAAGTGCTTATAAACAAAGAGTACTATATAGTAACTAAAATATTATTTTAAAATAATATTTTAAAATATTTACAAAAGCAACTATAGAACTCCAGTGCCCCCCCCCCACTCAGCAGAATGAGAAACAAAACTGTCAATGTCTGCAAAATCCCTGGATCTTATTTGGCCATGTAACCGGGGTGGGTGGGGGTGGGGGGGTGGGGGGGGATGACTTTGATCCATGGATATAAAAAGCTCCAGATAGTCATCAAGGCCTGATTCAGCAAATGAGTATTTGATAGTTAGCAGACTCAGTTTTGTTCTAGTGAAATAAAAATGAAATGGTGGGGGATTCATGGTGGCTGCTCCTATGATTACTGGTTTTATGAAGACAGAAAGCTCTGAGTGGTGCTCACCACCTGTGAGCATTAGGATGGAGAGACACTATTGATGTCTGTAACAGAAGACATGAGTATGCATAAATACTGGATTACTCAGGAGATCCTGGGAGGCAGGGGTTGGTGATACCGGGAAGATGGCCTTGTGTATTCATTCTAATGGTAGAGATCCTGATAAACAGGTTGGAGGAAGAGATTGCATTACAATATTGCAGGTGTACAGTATGTTTCATACGGAGAGTTGAATTGAGATTCTTCATGATGTCCCAAATCATAGAAGATGCATGCTCTGGCATCAGCATTTTTCTGCCATCCCCTCATGAAATTGTTTTTGTCCATCCCCAGCCCGTAACTGAGGCAATTTAAAGTTGGTCCTTAGGATTCCAGTTTTAAAATAGAGTTTTTCCTTTTATGACAATGTGTGTGTGTGTGGGTGTGTGTGTGTGGGTGTGTGTATACAATGCAGCTAACCTCATTGATGATGTGGTTGTTGATACAATTAAGAGACATGGTGGCACAGTGGTTAGTATTGCATATATTCTCACCAGCTCAAGGTGGACTCAGCCTTCCATCCTTCTGAGTTTGTTAAAATGAGGACACAGATTCCTGTGGGACAATATGCTGATTCTATAAACTGCTTGGAGGGGTGCTTTAAAGCACTGTGAAGTGATATATAAGTCTAAGTACTATTGCTAATTAAAGGCTAAAATTTGCTAAGCTCCTATTGGCCACTTGAAAAAGCTGCAAATGTGTCTCATCCCTCTAATAACTGGGAATTGCCCTTTCTGATTGAGCCACAAAAAAGATGGATAGCTGGTTCAGTGCACTGAAAATACCACTAGATCAGGGGTCCTCAAAATTTTTAAACAGGGCTGATTCATGGCCCCTCAGACTGTTGGGTGGGCGTGCTGGGTGGGCGTGGCCAATTTAGCCATTCATTTTGCCTTTGTCCTTCCTAAGCTGTATTTGCTCAACCCAAGGAATCTATTTACTTATTAAAAACCCCCAAAAAGGAAAAAGAGTGCAAACTTTCTTGCCACTTGCCTAACTTCATTACAACAGCAGCTTCAGGCTCCTTAAAAGAGGCCATTAAAAAAACAATAAAACAAACAGGATTTCCTTCAAAATAACTCCTGATCATATGTTTCAGATGACCAATCAGACTGAGAACTGCACCAATTAAGACTGTAACGGAAACCCCCAAGATTGAGCATTAAGAGACATTGGAAGCAGGCAAGAATCAACACAACCCTTCCCCAGCCTCCAATGGTGCATTAAGGAGAGATAACGTTCCCCCAGACTATAGTTTTTTTTTTTTTTAAAAACATGAACAAATTCCTATGAACACTGCACATATCTTTATTTGTAGTGTAAAAAAATCCATGAAATAATACAATATTTAGAATGAAGAACAATTTTAACCAACATAAGTATACTACTAATTCAATGGGAAGTGTGAGACTGCTTTTGGCTGATGAGAAAGATATCCGATTCCATATTTGTCACTGCCAGTCATAGCAAGTGATGTAAGTGTTTATCAGTTAGTCTGGATCTGGTTGGTTATTTCAGCTGTTTGAGTCTGGAAAAAGTCTGTTCATAGACATAGGTGCTGCCAAAGATGGTTACCATTTTGAGTGCATGGTTCCTGAGATTAAGATATGTCTCAGAGGGGAGAGATGATAGAAATTAGTAATGCTGCTTGACTTGAATGTGTCTTTCAGAGAGTCACCATTCTGTAGTTCAGCCAGTTCCATTTGGTAAATTGAATCAACAATTTCAAAGTCAACAGAAAATGGGTTCCGAGAAAGCTGTATGTCCTGTTCATGTGCACGAAGCTCTTTAAATCTAATTGAAACTCCCTTTGCAACATTTCCATTGAATCCACACACTTTTTGTTTGGAAATGCAACTGTTGGTTTTGAGTAATAGGGAAATGGCAAACATTTTCCTCTTTCACTTGTTTAATGGGGAGGTCCAATTTTACTTCAAATTACTCCTTTAAGTTTCACATTCAAACTGTTGAGTAGTTCTGTTACATCTGTCAGAAAGGCAAGGTGACATTTCCATTCTTCATCTTTGAGCTCTAGTACTTCTCTGTTTTTTGAAAGCAGAAAAGCAGAAAAGCAGAAACCTGTGGAAGAAAGTCATAGAAGCTTTTCAAAACTCTCCCTCAACTCAGCCAACGGACTTCTATGTGGTACAAAATATCTTCATAGGTAACATGTAGCTCAGATAGAAATTCCTGAAACTGTCTGTGGTTTAGTACATATATCCTGATGAAGTTAATGCAAGACACCACAACTTTCATGACAGAGTCCCACTTCAGTGACTTACAACATAGTGCTTATTGGTTAATGAGGCAGTGTATGGCTATTGGATGCGAGTGGTTGTGTTTGTTTATGCATGCAACCACTTCTTTCATACATCCCACCATGCTAGGAGCAGCATCAGTTGTCACACTGTCTAGTTTAGACCAGTCCAGCTCCAAATCATCCAGAGTTTGTGAACCTTTTTAAAGATATCCTCTCCTGTTGTTCTTCCTTTGATGCTTTTCAATGCAGCAAGCTCCTCTGTGACTTCAAAATAATCATTTGTCCCACGAATGAAAATTAGAAGTTGTGCAGAATCACGAACGTCATTGCTTGTGTCAAGTGCCAATGAAAAATAGCAAAGATTTTTTGAGGAGTTTTGCAAATGCTGGTGCAAATTGTCCCCCATTTCTTCAATCCTTCGTGTAATTGTAGGTCCTGAAAGACTCACTGTACTAAATAAATCAGTCTTCTCTGGACACATCTCTTTGGCAACAGAAAGAAGGCATTCTTTAACAAATTCTTCCTCTACAAATGGTCTGCCAGTACGTGATATTAGCTTGGCAACTTGAAAACTTGCTCGCAGTGATGAAATATTTACCTGCTTCTGCTTCACAAAAGCATTTTGCTGAGTTGTCAATCCATTTTTCAGTTTTAATATTTTGTCTTTTCACGCTTGTCCGACCAAACAATCATATTTGTTCTTATGTCGACTCTCGTAGTGTCAACGCAAATCATATTCCTTGAACATTGACTGTATTGACCTCTGACCTCCTGCAGGTGAGGAGGCAGGGGTTGTTGTAGAGCCAACAGGAGTTACTTTTCTACTCATGCTCAACAATTTTTGAAGGTGAGAGGTTATAAATGCAATGAGAAAAGGGCATAAGAAAAAAAAGGGGGGAGAGTGAAAGTCTGACTTAAAAAAGGAAGTAAAGGAGAGAAAAAGAGAAGAGAGAGGGAGAGAGAAAAGAAAAAAAACCTCTTCAGTCCAATTTGCTCAAAATTTAAGGCGAGCCATCCATTGATGTCCCAATATCTTCAAAAGGAAAAGAGTGCAAAAAGAAAACATAGGGTAAAAAAAAGCAAAGAACAAAGATACTTCAAGCCACAAAAAGAAAAGAAAAGGGGGGAGTCAAACGTCAAAAGGAGTAAAAAAAAAAAAGTCAGTATCTCCCCAGCAAGAGAATATAAAAATAATATAAAAACTGCTACCAAGCTAGAACAAATAAATTCAGTGTTTTTTTCCCCCTAAGATAAAAGTCTTTCAAAGGTCATTCTCAGCTTCCTTTGCTGCTTTGTTATNAGGGGGGGGGCAGGGGCAGGGGGGGGGCAGGGGTGGTGGTGTCCAAACCAGCTGAATACCACCTCTGCTTATGACCAATTCTCATATTTATGACCATCACAGTGTTTCCATGGCCATGTGATCCACATTTGGGTGCTTGGCAAGCAGCATGTATTTATGATGGCTGTAGCATCCCAGGGGACACATGACTGCCATTTGTTGCCTTCCCAGTCAGCTTCCAATGAACAAAATCACTAGGCGAAGCCAGATTCACTTAACAACCATGGTGATTTGCTTAATGACCACAGCAAAACAGGTCATAACATCAGGTGTAATTCAATTACTGCTTTGCTTAGTGACAAGTTTTGGACCCAATTATGATTGCAATTTGAGGACTACCTGTTCTTGTATCATGATGTTGCGCACAAGTATAGTACAATTTAGTGCTTCCTAATGGATTTTGCAATTATGTTTGGAAGTGTTAGCAGTAAAAGGAAACCAGGCCACTAAAGAACACAGTGGCTGGACACCATCAAAGTGACACCAACCAGAGCACAGAACAACTCAAAGAAGTAGTGCAAGATTGGAAGACGTGGAGAGACCTTGCCCATAGACTCATCAAGAGTTGGACACAACTGAATGGAAAACATCATCATCATTACTGGTTTTTGCTCCAAGCAGTTACCAAACCCTAGCCTGCTTTGGTTTCAAAGATAAGCATGGTAATAGAGATTCCCAAACCAAATGAAATCCCCTCCCATTTCCCCATGTTCTGTTTGCAGTGCACTGTATCAAGACATGCTCAATATATTTAATTTCACCATGGTTTATTGACAAAGCCATAATTGCTAGTTTCCCACATTATAGTAAGCCATAAATGACATTGTTTACATAATATGCTAAGCCACAGATAAATTACCTTATGGTTAACGTGTTGCAAGGCCACAGCCACCATATTCTGAAATCACTTCATTGGTAGAAGAATGTTACATAGGCTGAAGTATTAGATTACACCATCCCCAAAAGTCACTGAATCAGGGTGGAGTAAAGCATTTTGTCAGGCCTGCAGCCATATTCCTCTTGGATATTTGACCTGGCACACCTTCTATTATTCTACTATGGCTTTTCTATTGTGGGAAAATGGGAGAGGGGATTGTATGGAGTTAGATGCTATGTAGCCAAAACAAAATTCCTTTCTAGAAAGCCAAAGTCATCCTTTGTCTCTGCACCTCTGCACCTGATTGGAACTGGAT